TGTTGGAGAGAGAAATAACATCGTGGAAGAGACTTAAAGTGAGTAAAAAACGTCCTAAATGCATTTAGAGTTTATTTAGAACTACAAATTAAATTTCTTTTAGCAATTATTGTTTTTTAATGTCACAATTCCAACCCTGCTCCTTTACCCGGGCAAAAGTGACCCGAAATAGGCGCTCTGGTGGAGTTACTTTGTGTGTGGGTTCCAAGGCACTTGTAGCTATTCTGGTGGTACAGTTTCTTCAGTTCTGACTACTTCTCTCTCTCTTGCGCGCTCTCTGATACCATCTGACTATGTCCCCCCCAGTCCAAATGACATTCCAATGTTGTTGCTGGGCTCTTCCTGTTCGAGCATTACTGTACACCAGTATACAAAGCAAGGTCCATGGATGAGTGGGTTTGGTGTAGAAGAACTTGATGGCCCTGCACAGAGAGCACAAATGCTGCTGGCAGTCCTTATATCCAAATATATCCCCTCACTTTCCTCTCTTCTCTTTCTCACACCTTTCTCTATCTCTGATTTAAGTTATCTCTTACTCTTTTCTCTCCTTGGGAAATACAGCAGGTGTACCTTTAGCTAGCACAGTGTGACAATGTGTCTTTGGTGATTTTTGTTCCTGCCATCTGAAGGTACTTATGGATATCTGGACCAAAAAGTCTGTTCCAGATGGTTCTGGCCTACTTTAAAGATATTTGTATTAAAATGTAAAAAAGTAAAAGGTTGTCTGAAGTCGTCTCAGTAAATAGTATTCTAAAACTAGAAAACAACAAATCCTCAAAGTTAATGATGTGTAGCACAGATCAACTATTAGTGATTTTCAATTTATTCAAGATTTATTCAAGCCAAAGGCAAAGATTTATATATTTGTCTTGTACTTAAAAAAAATACAGTTTCACTACCACTCAGAGAATGACTGGGAAGTGTTAGCAGAATATCCAAATATCCTCATTTCAGTCTTCATCTCACTTTTGCCATCATCCAGCTAGTTACATATAAGATAAGATTAGGTCCCAGGTGTACAGTAAAACAGCAATAATCTGCCTATGGATGATTCATAATTAACACATTCACATTTGAAATGTAGAAAATATTAAGGATTATATAATCTATTTTATAATAATAACACAATTATATTATTATATAAAATACTTTTATCATTGTGCATCTTGATGTTTGGTATTATTATGAAAATTTAAGCCCTGATTCATCGTCATTAGACACAGAGTCTGTCATTAAAAACCAAACAAAAACTTCAATAGAGATGAAACTTTATTTTAGAAGAGAAGTGCTTACAAATATTCATATATTAAAGTACGGTGGACTGGACAGACTGATTGGCTGTCAGATGTGTGGCTGCCACGTAAGGCTCAAAACTTTGGTACATTCTAGCCAGACAGACAAGTGAGAGAACTGACAGAACTGTTTTCAGTACGAGAAGTATTTGAAATGAATTTGTACATGAAATTTTACTCAGCTTCCTGCCAAAATGTATCTTTAGTCTCTAAAAATATAAAGAAGGAGAATATGTCTGTGAAGGTTCTCAGTCATCCAGGTCATCGTAGTCAAAGGAGCTTGCAAAGAAAAGCATCTGGACTGGACACATCCTGGGCCATCTGACCTCAGGAATTCGCATGATAAGGTGGGGCCAGGTTTCACAATGAACACACCCGAAACTCTGGCTGATTGGGACCCACACCCAGTTTCA